ATGTGTATGAGTGTATTGCCTGCATGTAGGTAAGTGCACCCGTGTCGTGCAATGCCTGTGGAGGTCAGAAGAGGCTGTCGGATCCCCTGGAACTGGAGTTACAGACAGTTGTTAGCTGCCATGTGGGTGCTGGGATTCGAACTCAGGTCTTCTGCAAGAACAACCAGCGTTCTTAACCACTGAGCCATCTCTCCAGCCCCCCTAATGATATTTTTAAGGACTGAGCAGATGAAACTTTGCTGGAGAGACTGAAGACTCATTCTGAACAATAAAAGCTTGCTTCTGTTTTGTTTAGTTTCTAAGAATATGTTCTCAAGACCTCAGAGATTCTATTTATTTGCAAGACACATGCCCTCTGATACACACATAGCTGAAGCATACTTACTACAAAAATTGGTGATGCCTGCTGTCCTATATTCCTGGAGCCTCTTGATTTCCCTCCGGAGTTCAAATTCCACTGTTCCCCCAAGAGAACAAAGAAGAAAAATTGGAAAACCAAAGTCAGCATCAATGAGTGAGTATATTTTAGTAATTCTGCCATATATAAAAGACTAGGCAATTTCATCTGGGGAAATGAATTCTTTTCATTAGGAACTTCTCGCTAGAAATTTTTCCCAAGAGCTGAGAAAAGTCTACTCCAGCTGTCTTCCAGACGCTGTCTCAGATGCAGCAACTGGAACTATCTCTTAAAACACTTGAGTACACTGGCTCAATTCATTATCTACAAAACTGATGAATATAAATTTTCAATCTAAGTATTCCTGTTTTACCTACTTGGCTAGAATTTCTACTCACACAATCAAGTTTTTATGCAATTTCTCTGGATGTGGCTCTGCTGCAAGGGAAAGACAAAGCTCTATGCTCAAGCCCCAGTGAAGTTTCTTCACAGCTATTCCCTATAGGGACAAAAGGACATTGTATTTTCCATAAACCAAAAATTTCTGCTGAGTCACAGATCAGACTGCACTACTTATTCAGTGACAGAACATTCCAACCTGGGTGCTTTTGAAACACAGGATGAAGGAAAAGCCCAGACAATTGATGGGATGTAGTGCTCTATGGTGACATAGAGCCAGGGATGACAAACTGGGACAGGAAGTAGAGGATAAGTCACTCAGTACCAAGCACACAAAGAATGACAACCAAACAAGGTTTATCCTGAGGCCAATCAACCTGGCTCAGGTAAATGCCTGTGATTCTCCCTAAGAAATATTTGTATGATGAAAGCAATGATCAAGGACCTTCTAAGAAAAACAAAAACAACTCCCAGAACTAAACAGAAAAGCCAAATAAATATACAGATTTCATAATTAGAGGTACAGAAATGAGCCAGGCAGTGTAGACTTACTGCCTTAACCTCAATTTTCTTTTTTTAAATTTTCTTTGCTATATTTTATGTGTATAAGTGTATTTGTCTGCATGTATATAAGTGCACCTCTGTTGTGCAATGCCTGCAGAGGACAGAAGGTTGTTAGCTGCCATGTGGGTGCTGGGATTCAAACCTCGGTCCTCTCCAAGGGCAGCCAGTGCTCTTAACTACTGAATCATCTCTCCAGCCCTAACTTCAATTTTTATGGTTGAAAAATTCAATTATAACTGGGATGAACTCTCAGGAATACCAGAGCAGGGAAGAGAATGGTTTGAAGTACTGTGTCCATGAGTCATCAACTCAGCACCCACTGCTGAAATGAGCTTCAATACTAAAACATTACAGACAAAATAGTATGTCTGGAATTGGCTTCAAAATAATCCACTTGAAGGCAAGAGGGAAGAGGAGTGTGTGGCAAGATGAAACTGGATTGGTACTGCACTGAAAACTGCTAAAGCTAGCTACACAGATACACGGGGTGGGGGTGGGGGTGGCAGTAGGTGGTTGTTTGTTATATCATTACCTCTTCTTCTTAATGTACTTGAAAAGTCCTATGAGAAGTCAAAAACTGCTGAACATGGTGGCACACATCTGTAATCCAGTACTTGAAAGGTAGAGGCAGAATTTTAAGCTTGAGCCCAGTCTGGGCTATAGAGAAAGTTCTAGGCTAGCCTGGGCTATGTACATAGCAAGACCCTGTCTCAAAACAAAGACAAAAACAAACAAACATACAAATACCAAAAAGAAAACTGCTAAAAAGAAAAACCCCACTACATAACTATTTCTCTCTAAAGAAAGCAAGTCACTTAAGTTTTTTTTTTTGTTTGTTTTTTTTTTCCCCTTAGGTATGTGAGTGTGGTGTATACATGAACACAGTGGTCAGAGGAGGACCTGGGGTGTCCAGCTCTATCACTGTTTACCTTATTCTTTTGAGCCAGGGTCTCTCACTGAACCTGAAGCTAGCCTGACAGCTAGCAAATCCCAGCAATCTTGTCTCTGCCACTAGGAGAGCTGGGGTTATAGGTGCTGGCACTGCCAAGTCCAGCTTCTGACACAGGTGCTGGAATCTGGATGCAGGTCTTCATGCTTGCACAGCGAACACTCTGATCCAACTGGGTCATCTCTCCTGCCCCTCACTAAGCTTTTAAACCTCCTCTCCCATTCTCACTGAAGAATTTGGCCTTATGGTAATAAAAGAGCAGACAGAGATCCCCATTTATATATATAACCTATCATTACCTCGTTTATTTATATATGCGCGCACACACATACACACACATACACACACATTCAAAGAACCACCTACATGCATGGCTTTCAATGAACTTGTCATGTTCCACTGGCCCCACAATCCTCGCAAAGCGCCTCATTGTTTCATAAAGATCTTGGACCTCCTTGGGATATCGCCGCTCCATTACTATAGAGAAAATAAACACGTCACAAAGAATGTAAAGATCTCTAAGTTTGTTGTACTTTTTTTTTTTTTTTAAATTTTACCAAACTTCTGTGGGTTTTTTTTTGTTGTTGTTGTTGTTGTTGTTTTTTTTGTCTTTTGAGACAGGGTTTTTATTCCACAGGACATGAGCTGGTTTGATGATCATAAAAACAGTACTGGTGCACTTTCTACAAGACTCGCGACAGATGCTGCCCAAGTCCAAGGAGTATGTAGATTGTACTCCGCTGCTATTTTTCTTTAATAAATAAGCAAGCATATGGCATAGCAACACTGTTTTGTCTTTTGAGACAGGGTTTCCCTGTAGCCCCAACTGTCCTGGAGCTCACTATGTAGACCAGGCTGGCCTCACACTCACAAAGATCTGCCTGCCTCTACCTCCCAAGTGCTGGGATTAAAGGCATGCGCCACCACGCCCGCCGCTTTTTAAAAAAAAAAACAAGAAATGAAACTCTAGGATATCATTTCTAACCTCACATGACTAACCCATGACAGGAAGCAAATAGGAAAGCTAAGGATGCAAAACACTAATAATAATTACAGCTCCCCAGCAACTAACACAAGGGATAGTTATCATGTTATATATCAAGGGATTGTTATGGAGATCAGCTACTGATGTCCCCCAGCTACCGTCTTTAATCTGCACAGGACCAGGTACTGCTGCCACAATGGAAGAGGGAATTAAAGGCAGAACCTGCATCATTAAACACAATGTTGGCCAAATTTTCTGGTATCTGTTACTGCAGGAAAACAAGGAAACCTCAGACATTAGAAACCAACCAAATGGGCATGGTGGCAAGTACCTGTAATTCCAGCACTTGGGAAGTAGAGGCAAGAGGACCATCCAAAGTGTGAGATCAGCTTTGTTTAATATAGTGAGTTTCAATCCAACCAGAGCGAATAGCAAGACCTCGTCTCAAGAAACCAAAAAACAAAACAAAGAACTCATCTCAAAAAGGCCAATTAGCCTGGGAAAAAAAGTGTGTATCTCTGACCTGGAAGAACCTGCGTGTACAAGCTGGTTTTATGCAGCACTGGTGCAAACACCTACCAACTGAGCTGCATCCCCAGCTCCTTACTGTTGCTAACAAAAGTATTGTTATAAAGCCAGGTGAGTGATGCACACCTTTAATCCCAGCACTTTCAAGGCAGAGGCTGGCAGATCTCCGTGAGTTAGAGGCCAGCCTAGTCTGCAATAGAGAGTTCCAGGACAGGTAGTGCTACATAGTGAGACTCTGATTTACAAACAAAAAAAGGTTTTACAACTTGCACCAAGGTTATGTTATATTTAACAAGTAGTTTCAAAATGATGGTATCTAGAAAATGATCCATTAATATTTATGCTATAATTACTACAATTCTTATACAGTGTTGTTGACTATACAATGATAGCTTTTTACTGTCACTATGGATCAGAATAGCCTTGAAAATTTTTGGTTTTGGTAGTAGGGATCAATCCAGCCTCAAGCACACTCTATAACCCTAACACTGTATCAGAATCTTTAAAATCTTCCAGGTGACACTAACTAGCATGCAGCTTGAATTAAGAATATTGCCAAAGGTGGATCTCAAGGCCAGCTGGGGCTACAGGGAGACCTTGTTTTCAAAAAAAGAATAAAAGAACACTGCCAGAATGTTTTGAAACTACTCAACAATGTTAGAAGAATTAAGGAAAAAGAAAAATCAGCTCACACTCACATTGAAACTTTCTAAGGTTGATTAATCCATGATCTCGTATAATTCTAAAATGAAAAAAAAAAAATCTTAAAAACAGGGCTTCACATATAATACATATAATTTTTATTATACAAACATTCAAGATGGTATATCAGGGTCCAAAGAAGTCAGTATCCACAAACTTGTGAATCAGACTCTGAACTGAGCATCACACTGTCCCTCTTGGGCACAAATGAGTCTCAGTAACTATTTGCTAGATGATTCAGTTCCTACTCACAAATACTGAAAAACGTGTCTGTCAAGATGGTGCAGAAGGGAATCTGCCTATATATCATGAGACTAATCTGTTCAACTTGTGTAAGTAATTGAGAACAGCCATTTAAGGGAAACCTGCTAAGCATGAAAGGATACCATGATACACACATTAAACATTTACAACCATGCATTTACACACTTTGAAGACACTTGAAATAAATATGGATTGGCTCTGTTTAATGGAAGGGCATCATAAAACATAAGACCTAACCAGCAACTCTCAACTGGGTTCTACAATACTCTCTAGCTCTAATTATAAATGTTAAGCAAAACAAATTTAAGTAAACCACATGGGGCTATACGGCTGGAACCTTTGATTTATACCAGAGGTGTTAATGACTAGGCTTCTTAGGGAAGCAGCTATGTAAGCTTTTGCAGCACTTCCTGGAAGCTGGCTCCAGATACACAGGTGCAGGAGAAAGCTATGCTATAGATCATATCTTGGTCCTTTGAGAGTGGTCTCCCAGCTAGGCGTGGTGGTGCACGCTTTTAATCCCAGCACTTGGGAGGCGGAGGAGGCAGATCTCTGTGAGATTGAGGCCAGCCTGCTCTACACAGCGAGTTCAGGCCAGCTGAGAATGATCTCCCAACTCCCTCTCTCTTCTCTTGCTGATTATCACTTTACCAATGGGTTAGCAATATCACAGTAACCAACATGTCTATATACACAGCACAGACCTGAAAATCACTCTGCATATCCCTCTCTGAACTGTTAGCCTCTATAACCCAATAGTGGTCTGGGTTCCATTATTTTTAACTCTGAATATATATGTGACTGTCTGGTTCTGGGAATTGTTCATAGGGCCTCACATTGCCTCTGAATGAGACCTCCAGTCCCTGAATGTATATTTTTGGTCTTCTAGAAAGGGAGGAATAACCAAGGTACCTGAAACTTGTTCAGAACTTCTTTAAAATCCTTCTAGATGAGGTTTTCTTTTTTTGTTTTTTGTTTTTGACAAAGAACTTAAAACAGTTTACCTATATTATTCAAAAGTCATCATAACATCAAAGGATAAGAAAAGTGGAGGTAAAAACAATACAGGGATTATTAGCCTCATTTGCCAGATGAGAAACCAAGGCTTAAGGAGGTTAAAATGTCTTCCTCAAGGTTACAAGAGTGAAGTGTTCCTACAGACTACATGCGATCAACAGGTCAAAAGTGAAAGGAGACAAGATGGTTTGTCCATACTTACTTTTTTCGTCTTTGTCTCTCCTTTAACCTGGAATGATAGATATCTACCACGGCCATCTTCAGAGCTATAAGTACATACACATGTATAAATAATAAAATAAGATCAAGACAAAAAAAATTATTTACCCAAACTTTTTTTGGGAGAGTGCTGACATATTTTGCTGTGTTGGCTGGCTTTGAACTTACAATGATCTTGCCTCAGCTTTCTGAGAACTGGGGTTAGGAGCATATACCACCATACCTGGCTTCCCCAAACTTTAAATACTATTCCATTAAAAATATCTTAGCATACTGAATTTCTCTATCAGTAAATAATAATAATGATTATTATTTTGGCATTGCCAAACCCAGGGCCTCACACAGACTAGGCAAGTACTAAGTTATCACTAAACTGCATCCCCAGCCCAAAAGTGACTGCACAAGATTAAGCTCAAGAGACAGTGACACAACAGGATAGAGTACAGTGTAGACATGTTCCCAGACTAACATTTTCAGCTGGGTGACAACTGTTCTCAGTGCTGAGTTTTGCATTCTGTAATGACAAGATCCATCAAGCAGCCTAACCAATGTAAAAGCTGCACCCTCCTTGGCTGCTCATGTCCCAAACCTTTCCTGACTTTAGTCTCATATGAAATAAGGAGAAAAGAAGCAGTGAAGAGGAGAGCTCAAAATCAGCACAATGATTTTGCTCTTTCCTTCCCTGCCACTCTCTTTCCATCTTCAGAGGTCCCAAGATTTCTGTTCTTGTCTCTCTTCACTCTTCTCCTTATTCCTACAAACTCATCCACTTCGATGGGTCCAAGTCCCATAAGACTATATAATCTCAAACTCAGATATCTACTTTTAGCTTCAGATTCCGTTGGCTATCCCTACTCACATAGCTTCAGGAGCAAGCTTACAGGTTCTTCCTTACCAAGTTCTTACTTCAGTTAACAGCAAGTTGTCCAAGACAGAAATCAACCTGGTCCCTCTATCCCCTGTAAAACTTAGCACTATGATGCATTACTAAACATTCTTTTCATCTTAAAATTCTGAAAGTAACAATGATTTTAGTAGATGCTGGAGCTACCTTAAGAACTTGCCCCCTTAAGCTTTGTATAAAGGCAGCAAGTTGGAGATTATTATTTTTATTGTTAATAACATTATTTTATAGGCTTAGAAACTGTGTAAGGCTGGAGAGATGGCTCAGCAGTTAAAAGCACTAGCTGTTCATGCAAAGGACCTGGGTTTGGTACCCAGTACCAATTTAGAGTGATGTTTTGGGTTTGCTTTCATTACTGAAGACATTCACAGAAGAATCTCTAGCACAACATATCGACCTGCCATGTGTCTTGAAAATCTAAAATGCATTATCCAAATGTTAGGTAATTTTCAAAAATACACCAGTCTTTCTAGCAATGAAATCGGACCATGGATGAGAATATGTATCTATCTTTCAAGATGTAAACTTCATTCCAAATTTGAGCTCAGAGCTTCTGGAATGCTGGTAACTCAAAAGCAATGTATTTCATTCTCATCCAGATTATAGAGCTCCAAGTTCCAGTTTAGCCCAGGAGGGCAATGAAGTCATGTTCTATTAGTTTTTGTTAAGTTTTTATTTCAGTCCACTCAGAAGGCAGTGGCAGGAGGATCAGAGTTTAGGGCTAGTCTAGGCTAGCCTTCAAAGAGAAAAAAAAAAGTTGGGCATGGTGGCATACATCTTTAATCCCAGCACCTGGGAGGCAGAGGAAAGCAGATCTCTGTGAGTTCCAGGCCAGCCTGGTTTACATAGAATTCTGGGCAGCCAAATCTACATAGTGAGACCCTGTCTTAAAAATAAACACCTTTAATCCCAGCACTCAGGAGGCAGAGGCAGCCTGATCTACATAGTGAGTTCCAGGATAGCTGGGGCTACAGGGAGACCCTGCCTCAAAAAGACCAAAAATAAATAAATAAATAAAAAATAAATAAAATAAAATAAATAAAAAATAAAAAAATAAGCTGAGTATGATGGCACACGCCTTTAATCCAGGCACTTGGGAGACAGAGGCAGGTGGATCTCTGTGAGTTCAAGGCCAGCCTGGTCTACATAGTGAGTTCCAGGTCAGCAGGGGCTACAGGGAGTCCCTGTCTCAAGAAGACCAAAAAAATAAAATAAAATAAAAAATAAATAAAGACTCAGTCTATATGCTGGGCTTAAAAAAAAATTAAAAATAGGGGCTGGAGAGATGGCTCAGAGGTTAAGAACACTGTTCTTGCAGAAGACCCCGGTTTGAATCCTAGCACCCACATGGTA